AAGCTTAAGGACTTCGTCTTCAAAAATATTGTGTGCCGCTATGGGATTCCTCATACTCTTATCTCTGATAACGGAAAGCAGTTCGATAACGATGAGTTCAAGCATTTTTACGATAAGCTGGGCATCCATAAGAAATTTGCCTCAGTCGCAAGACCGTAAGCAAATGGTCATGTTGAAGCTGTCAACAAAACCATCAAGCACACTCTAAAGGCCAAACTTGGCGCAGCCAAGGGAAATTGGGCCGACAACCTTCCTGAAGTTCTGTGGGCATACAGAACAACTCCGAGAACCTTTACCTCAGAAACCCCTTTTTCACTAGCATATGGCTGCGAAGCAATGATCCCTATGGAGATAGGAACCGGTTCACTTCGGAGGGATCTGTTCAACGAAATAATCAAAGAGGCGCTTATGCGCGCAAGTCTGGATCTAGTTAAAGAACACTGCAGTAAGACTCAGATAAGAATAGCAGCCTATGAGCAATGTGCGAAAAGGTGCTTTGACTTTAAGGTTAGAAGAAGAGACTTCCAGGTCGACGACCTCGTTTTAAAGGAAGTCCTTCTCGGTACTAGAGAACCGAGTGTGGGAGTTTTGAGACCGAACTGGGAGGGCCCATACCATATCGCCAAAGTGATAAGACCGGGGACTTATCATCTCAAAAGGCTGAATGGTTCCGAAGTACCGTGAGCTTGGAATGCTGAACATCTCCGACCATATTATCAGTAATTCCGAACTCAGTTTCTCCTTGTAAAGATGTTACTTTTCTTAGTCCTTGTAAATAAAAGACGTCCTTTTGCAATTATCTTTCCATGTGTATAATTATGTTCACATAGATTTGTATCAATGTTATTGTCAACAGTTAGAATGCGATCTCATGTGTAACATGAAGTACGAAAATTGTAAGTATTCATAACAGATTAAGAAAGCCATGACTTTATTTATAAAATAAAAAAAGGAGTACAAAAAGCAGGCATGGGAAAGGCAGTACAAAAAGTAAAAGCAATCATTGGCCTTCATCCCCAACTCCCGGAGGCGCGACCTTATCATCCCTAGGTTGATCGCCGTCCACCTGGCCGACCATAGGCTCCTCTGGGACATACTCCGGATGCTTTTCCAGGTCAGATCCTTGGGCGGCCTCCGCTGCATCCTCATCGTCAATCTGTGCCATGGATCTGAGGATGTCCCGGTATTCCTCCTGGAGGTCAAATAGATCCATTTTGGGATTCCTCGGCCGTAAGGCATAGATGGACTGAATTGCCCATTCAGCAGCCTTCTTCTCGATCTCCAACCCTTGTCGCTGCATCTCTTCGGTCAGCGAAGTAACTTGGCCCTGGATAACTTGGAGTTCGGCCTCAAGCGCCCACCTTTGCTTTTCGGTGGACTCCCATAGCTTTGCCTTTTCCCGCTCTACTCGCAAGGCCCGTTGAGAGGTCGTTTGCAGCTCCTGCTCTTTCTCGTAAGCCTCCTTGGTAAGTCTGGCCATTGTCCTCTAGAACTCCTTTACCTCCTCTCCATGCTTCTCTAGCTCGGCCTTCTGAAAGTCCACTGTGCGAAGAGCAGCATTCCTTTCATTTAGGTATTGGTTCGCCAAAACGGTGGATAAGTCTTTCTCTACTTCAGCGGCTTCTAAGCCCCGTTTAAGCTACGCGTTCTCTTCTCTCAGTGCGACCATCCCCTTGGCAGCTCCCAACTGGACCTTTTGCAGGGACAAGTGCATGGAGAGCAGAGCCTGTGAACGAAAAGAGTAACAAGTTAGTCTCTTTGCTACTGAAAAGAATAAATGTAAAGTCCTCTCCGAGGACAGCTCGTTCTACCTGGCTTAAGTGTTGGAGGGATATGGAAAACAGGTCAACAAGGTTGGAAGCCACGAACTTCTCAAATGCCTCCGTGAGCCCGCACTCCAGCAGGGTAAAAACCACCAGCTGTAGATGATCCGAAAGTTATCCCATCGAGTCCAGCACAGGTATGTTCATGCCCACACCTGCAGCAGGAATCGTATTGCCCATTGGTTCCTTGCCCGGTCTCCTCCCAAGGTCCACAGACTAGCTTTGTCTTGTTCACGGTTCCCCTAGAGCAATGGAGATGCCGATTGCACCCCTGGAAGACCCTCTCGAGCAGAACGCTTGGTAAGGTTGCGACCTCTCGGGCTGAATGCCCAGGCCCTCCGGTTCGGACTCTGACTCTTCGGTCTGAAGTTGTTTTCACTTTTTGGACTTTTGGGCCATGGTCTTGTGCTTCGGGCGAACAGTCGAAGGCTGGGGAACCCTAGTTGGTCGTACCAGAGCACCTATCGGCGTCCTTCTAACGGGGGGACCATTAGGAGCTGCTCCAATTGGTCCGGTGGTGCTTACTCGGGGGAAGGTGAACTGCCTCGGTCGTGGCGATCTGGGCACCTTGGAAGGCATGGCCGCTGCATGTGAACAACGTTAGCAAAACAGTTCGTTGCATGAAAAATCGAAAAGCAGGTTAAGGGTAAGAAGCTTACTCGATAGGGTCTCTAAGGTCGCTTCGGGGTTGAAGAAACTATACTTTAGCAAATTTGCGGTTGTCACGAGCAGCCTTGCATCGCGACTCTCTTCGGGCAGAAAATCGAAGGTAGTGATCCTGTCTGGATCCTCGAGGAGCGATAACCTAGTCGTTTTGTTAACTGCGAAGAAACAAAGAGCTCATTAGCAAAGACCAAAAAAGAAATTCGCGATCTCAAAAGAACAGAGAACCTACTCGGCTATAGAAAGTGGCAAATGCCATCATATCAAAAGAAAAAGAACTTCGTCTCGTATGCCCCTACATTGCTGGGATAAGTATGTATTCCCGCTTCTATTGTAGAGCACTTGGAGAGGTAGAATGAGTCCTTGTCCTTACTCTTTTTTAGGATGTACGAGCAATTGAGTTCTAGCGCTGTTAGCTCGCCTAATCCGTTTTCACCGCAGGCGATATACATAGCCACTGCTATCATATATGCGTTTGACATTAGCTGTAGCGGTGCGATCCCAAAATGATCAAGGACCGACCTGACAAAAGGGTAGAAAAGGATCAACCCTCCACTCTTGAAAATGTTATCGGAGATCGTAGCCATCCCTTGTGGCAGATTTCGAGCTGTGTGTATCCTATCTTGGAAGACCTCCACGTTGAGAGCGTATTGGTCTACCACCTTCTAAATATCCTCAGCAGTAATCATCGACAAGATCTCTTGAGGGGGACCCGCAGGAGCATCCTACACAGGCGAGCTGGTCCCCTCCTCAATTTTGGTCGTTGGAGAGTCCGTTCTACTGTAGTCTGAAAAAAGCGACATGCAGGGAATCATTCAGTCCTCTTGCACTGTTTCATACGATGACATGGAGGAGAAAGCAAAAAGCTTCCTCCCTTAAACCCTAGACCCTAACAGAATACTTTTAGAGCTACCATCAAATGGGTCAAACCCAAGGAGAATATTCCATCTTCGATCAACTACCGATAGACTATCATCGCAGGGCAACTATCGAAAACAAGAAACAATAATAAAAGTGGCAGAGAAACCATCCTTACCTCTTGGAATGAGAAAATGAATCCTCTTGCTTCGAATATCAAACGCACACCAGTTTGATAGACAAAGCACCAAAGCTCACGAAAATTTTTGCTCTCCCTGAGAAAGTGAGTATTGTGGCATTACCTGAACTGAGCTTGGGGTTTTATAGTGAAGAAAGTGGCGCTTTGGTTTCCTGAAGTCAAACGACATTTGGGCAGAAAACGCATTTGACCGTTGATCGCGACCACGTGTCGTGAATCAATGAAGAAGAGTGACCGTCACGCTTCAAGAAACCAAATCATCATTCTCTTCCATTGAAACACTTAAGCGACGGCACGTTTCCCTCCTTCATATTAAATGCGCCCCCATCTGCATTTAATGCCCTGATAGGGAATGTCGTTTCAGCATGGCTCGCATTCAATATGCATGGATAGCACTTATTGCGCACAGGACACGTCTGTCAGAACAAAAGATATTTCATTAAATGTATCAGCTACAAAAATGTGACAGATACCATCTGATGCGGTTGTTATATAGAACACTCTTCGTCTTATGTCAGTCGCAAAGCGACGTGACTCTTCAATCTTGTCTTATGTCAGTTGCGAAGCGACGTGACCCCTTACCTTCGGCAAAAAATCCTGCTAAGTGCAATAAGGTCGTGAACCTCAGATAAAGACCAGAGTCATCGTTATGGCACTGAATATGGTCTAAGAATAGGTCGTTGACCCTTAGAGTAAGCCATTTTAGGTCGCCTACGTGGAAATGTTTCCTCGACATCTTTGCAACCAGGTCGGATCGACTAGTGTCTCTTTAAACGCATCAAATCAAGGCATAATATGTAGTTTCCAAGGTTCGATTCTCAAACCTTAAAAACTAAGGGACTTCTGTTATGCTTGAAAAAGTAGGGCTGATGCAGAGCCCTGTCAGCGTAAGCGGTCAGAGCTTAGGTAAGTCCTGCAGCCATTCAAACTCAGCCACGTCGCATGTTGACGCAAGCGGCATGCTCCTGCCAGTGCAGTGGGTGTGCACCAGGCTGGTGAAAGGCTGGAAGTGATCCACGTGTCCAATCCCTGCAAACGTTGAGTAAATCACTTAAGTAGGTGAATAACGGGATGCAAGGAAGGATTTGCATGACAATCTGACCCACTCCCTGGTTTAGTAATCATTACCTCAATTCATCCCACTATAAATAGAGAGATCCTCTCCCGTTTGTGGGATTAGCTAAATTTCTCTCTAGAATAGCATATATACTCTCTCTCTCTCTCTCTCTCTCTTGTAATCTCTTATAAGTCAGCTCGTTGAATGCGACCTGATCTCAAATATATTAATACGATACCAGTGGACGTAGGATTCGCTTACTTAAGCATCTGAACCACTTTAAACACCGTTCTTCATCTTTTATTCAGTTCAATACCCTCGTACATGTGTGTCTTCTGAGTCAGCTCAGCACTTCCCACGTGCGTTTAGTTGGTGTCAAAATCACGCATCAACACCTTATATGACTCCATGCCATCTCATCCCCATGATAGACATAGCCAAGCTTTTGGCTCAACGTAACGTTTTAGTCTCCATAGTTCTCACACCTCTCAATGTCACTCGATTCAGTAACGTGATCGATCGTTCCATTCAAGCCGGGCTACCCATTCGTGTCTTAGAAATTAAGTTTCCATCCATTAAGGTTGGGTTGCCTGAAGGGTGTGAATCTGTAGACACACTCCCATCACGAGACTTGATAAAACATTTCTTTAGAGCGACTGATATGTTGCAGGAACAAGTAGAAAAGATGTTTCACCAGCTAAAACCAAGTCCCAGTTGTATCGTTACTGACAAAAATTTCCCCTGGACGGTTGATATTGCGACCAAGTTTCAGGTTCCATTTCGGATATTATTTGATGGGATGAGTAGCTTTTCTCTGTAGTGCTTCCACAATTTACAGAAGTCTAAGGTCCATGAGAAAGTGTCCGAGTCTGAGCCCTTTGTGGTTCCAGGATTGCCTGATAAAATTGAACTCACAACCAACAAGTTACCTGGTGATTTCAATCCGGGCTTAAGCGAAGACTTCAAGACTCTGGGACGAAAGATGAGAGAAGGTGATGTAGGTGCATACGGTGTGATTGTTAATAGTTTTGAAGAGCTAGGACAAGACAATGTTGAAGGATATCGAAGAGCCACAGGAAAGAAATTATGGTGCGTTGGTCCGGTTTCTTTGTGTAACAATGAGAACTTAGATAAGGCTGAGAGAGGTGAAAAGGCTTCAAATGATGTAAATCAATGCTTGAAGTGGCTTGATTCATGGCCGGAAAGTTCTATAATTTATGTTTGTCTTGGAAGTCTCAATGGTTTTAGACTTCCACAGTTAATAGAACTTGGTTTAGGATTAGAAGCTACAAACAGGCCATTCATTTGGGTTATAAGAGGAGACAAGAAAAGCGAAATCGAGAAATGGCTAGAAGAAGACGGGTTCGAAAAGAGAGTAAACGAAAGAGGCCTAGTTATTCGAGGCTGGGCGCCTCAGGTACTGATTCTGTCACATCCAGCAATCGGAGCGTTCTTAACACATTGCGGGTGGAACTCGACATTGGAAGGTATTTGTGCTGGCGTGCCATTGATTACATGGCCTTTGTTTGGTGAACAGTTTATAAATGAGAAGTTAATAACTCAAGTGATGAAAATTGGTGTGCCATTGGAGAGTGATGTTATGGTGCCTTTTGGGGAGGAAGAGAAGTTTGGGGTGCTGGTGAAGAAGGAGAAGATAAGGGAGGTTGTAGACAAGGTAATGAATGAAGAACAGGGAGAAGAGATAAAGAAAGGTGCAAGAAGGCTCGCAGAAAAGGGGAAAAAGGCAGTTGAAGAGGGAGGATCTTCTTTCAATAACATTACCTGGTTAATTGATGATATCATTCAACAAACAAGAGACCATTCATAATATAAGACTGTTTCTGTCAAATTCATCATTCATTTATTCAATTGTATGATTTGAGAGAAATTAATGTAACTTTTATGGTTTAGCTTTCTACTTCAATTAGTGTATACGAAGAATGTATTAATGTTTTCCTTTTCAAGTAATACTCTTGAGTCAAAACAGAGTGATAAGCTGATAATGCCACATTGCTCATAATCGCTTGGAGCTTCTTCAAATTTATGTAGAGACTAAGCAAAACGCCACAAACTTTCTGTTACTCTGCCCATGTATGGATTCAAAATGTGGGTCTAAACACAAACTCGACCATCAATCTCAAAAACTTAAGGTTAATAGAAATGACCAAACAAATGTATTTTAAACTTTAACAAGTAGCACGAAATTATAGAAAATTTTAAGTTTCTAGCATGGTCACTTTCTCTCTTTTGCTCAATTGTTGTTGAATGATATCTTCAATTAACAAAGTGATGTTATTGTAAGAAGATCCTCCCTCTTCTACCGCCTTCTTTGCCATTTCCGCAAGCTTTCTTGCTTCATTCCTTCTCGGTTCCTTCTTATCTTCATTCATTACCTTCTCTACAGCCTCCTTTATTTTCTCCTCCTTCACTTGCACCCCAAACTTCTCCTCCTCCCCAAAATGCACCACAACTTCAGCCCCCACAGGCACACCAATTTTCAATACTTGCACTACTAACTTCTCATTGAAAAATTGTTCAGCAAACAAAGGCCATGTAATCATCGGCACGCCGGCACAAATCCCTTCTAGTGTTGAGTTCCACCCACAATGCGTTAAGAATGCTCCAATTGACGGATGTGACAGAATCAGAACCTGAGGTGCCCAACCTCTTATCAATAGGCCTCGACTTTTTACTCTCTCTTCAAACCTATCTTCTTCTAACCATTTCGCCATTTCTGCGCTCATGCCTCTTATTACCCAAATGAATGGCCTATTTGTAGCCTCTAAGCCTAAACCAAGTTCAATTAATTGTGGAGGCCTAAGGTTACTGAGACTTCCAAGACAAGCATAAATTACTGAGTTTGGTGGCCATGAATTAAGCCACTTCAAGTATTGATTCACGTCGGTTGAAGATTTGCTGTTACCTCTTTGAGCCATATCTAAGTTTTCTTTGTTGCATAGTGATACTGGACCAACGCACCAGACTTTACGTCCTGTTGCACTTCGATTACCTTTCAGGAATTCTGTCTCTAATTCTTCAAAACTGTTAACTATGATCCCGTATGCCCCTGCTTCAGCTGCTTTTATCTCTTCTCGTAATTTATTCAAATCCCTATTTGAACCTGGATTGAAGAGACCAGGTAGCTGAGATCTTCTAAATTCAAATTTGTCAGATAATCCTGGTATCACCAGGGATTCTGACTCGGACGCAGTCTCATGGATCTTGGATTTATATAGATTATGGAGGCACAAGAGACTAAAGCAATTTGTCCCATCAAATAAAATCCTCGGAATCTGAAACTTGGAAGAGATATCGGCTGTCCATGCGATATTTCTATCCGAAATTATACAACTTGGACTTGGTTTTAGCTCGTGGAACAAATTTTCTACTGGTTCATGCAACATACTTATGGCTGTGAAGAAATTCTTGAACAAGTCTAGTGAAGGAACTGCATCTGCGCTTTCGCACCCATCAGGCAAGCCAGCTTGAGTCGCCGGAAATTTAATTTGTATGACATTTATAAGAAGCCCGGCATGAATGGAACGATTGATAATGTTGCTAAATCGAGCAGCATTTAGAGGTGTTGTAACTATAGTAACTATTACGTTGCGCTGTGCCAATAGTTTGGCTATGTCAACCGCTGGGAGAAGATGACCCTGAGCCATTAGGGGTATCAAAAGAAAGTGAGGTTGGCAAGGCTGTGATGCAGAAGCCATTGCAAATAAAATGCTGGTAAAGTGTTTTGATAGAAAGCAGTAGCTTCAAATGGTGACTAATATGCAGCGGTGACTTGGTCCCTTCTGGATGGCTTTCTTTTTGTTTTTTTTAGCGGTGACGCAAGAGCATACATAAACATGTTACAAAAAAATAATGGATAGAAGACTTTCGTGATGAAATTTTCAATTGATTATGACGTACATATTCATAGGGTAGAAATTTTTTTATTAAAACCATAAAATGATTAGGGGTGTACAGTAACATATATTTTCTCCACAAATAAGAAATATTTATAGCTATTAGTTTTGTATATTTGGGACAGATCAGAATCCTATTATGATCTGAGTTTTTACCTGCACAAATAAAAACTTGTGATTAGTAATTATTAAAAGAAATAACCATATATCAATGAAAATGCATGTGTCATGAAATCTTTCGAAACTCAAAACAAGAGTAGATCGTGTGAATTAAAATATGGTGTATTGTGATGCCTTTGAAGAATTGTACATTATCATTATTTATAAGAAACAATTAATGCCTTTTAATCAAGAGTAATTTTTACTGTATTTATATCGTCAGATTCAAACCTCCTGCAAAGCCTGAGCTACCGAACTCTATTTTATTGTTTACTTAATGCTTGTGCCTTGTAGAAACTGATTTGTCAAAGTCTGAGCTAATTAGTAATTACCTCCAGCCCATGAGCAAATGGCTTCACATTTCAATAAAAAGAATATGTAGAGTCGTATCAAAATAATATGGTGGGCCGCCCGAGATATTGTTTGTCAGTTGTCACTGACAATATTATAGCAAAGTCTGTACAATAAATCAAAATAAAGAAATTATGTTTTAATACATTTTTTGAGGATTACAACAATAACAAGACAAAACTGCTGCATTATTGCTCCATTATATAATAGGACTCTTCTAGCCGCCTTTATTAATCATCAAATGGCATTGACTTAGATGAAAATTACCGTAAAGATTTCATTTCTAATAAAATAAATAATTGACGAAGTTAGTATTTTGATAGAGTTATAATCACCAAAGAGACATACTTAAAGGCTTAATGGTATTTTTCCCACCCGAAGTTTGGCTAATATCTTTCTACCCCTGAACTTTGAACCTATTGTCAATCAACGGAGTATAACAATGAAAAAACTACAATACCTTTTATTATTTAACTTTGTAATTTTTATTAAAGCCAAAAAACATTTTCCCACCAAAACTTTATAAATATTAGTTTGGTTTATATTAATTTTAGGGTTAATAAATTAAATTTTTTAGAAAAAAGGCCAATTATTAAATTAAAATATTTAAAAAAAGTCACTAGTAGCCTTCATCATCGGGGACGGAATCGCACTAGGCTGGTGCGATCTTGCTAGGTGCGATTCAACTAGAATCATACTAGGCAGGTGCAATTCAACTAGAATCGTACTAGACAGGTGCAATCTAGTTAGAATCAAACTTTGTCAAGAGCAATTCCGTCCAGCTAATTTTGTTTTCAATTTGTTTTTATTTTTGGAAGATTTCTTTTCTTTTTTCACAATTTCAATTTCTTTTCTCTTTTTTGAAAATTATAATTTTTAAATAAAAAATTATAAGTTTAATGAAAAATTGTTTTGTAAATTTATAATTTATAGATAATGAAAAGTTTTTTTTTTTATAGAAACACAAACACGTAAGTAAAATAGTCAAAGCATCAAAAATGTGTGGGCATCTATGTAATTTTAGCAGTCAATCATGATCAAACCTCCACTTTAATGATAGAAATTGAAGATAAAGGATCTAAGTGACTAGTTCTCAGATTAGTGAAGGCACTTGTTATCTATTTGTATAGTAAGGGTGTAAATAAAATTAACCCTGTAATATATATGCGCAAACTGACCAGAATGCTCTTACACCATTAAAACTAAAGTCTAAATTTTAATGATTGGGAAATTTTTTTTTTGAAAGTTTAGGGTAGGCATTAATCAAACTTCGGTGGGAAAATGTAATTCATCCTCTTTTTTGGTTTTTCTTAATCCAAAGACTAAAATAATCTCAATGTAAATTTCATAAATGATAGGCTGCTTGTTATCCCTGATGCTTTATTGAAGCCCTCTTCATGAGTCACTCTCTGCCCACCTTTTTTTTTGCTCTTCGATTGATTCAGAATATCTTCAATTAACAACTTAATATTCCTGTAAGAAGATTCCCCACCTTCTAATGCCTTGTTTGCCATCTCTCCAAGCTCTTTTGCTCTCTTTTTCTTCTCTTTACCTTCTTCTTCATCCATTACCATCTGTATTGCTTTCCTTATTCCCTCTCTCTTCACCATCACTCCACACTGCTTTTCCTCTCCCCGGTTCATAACAATGCTAGCCCCCACCTTCTCACCAATTCTTAATATCCGCAAAACAAACTGCTCGTTGAAAAACTGCTCCGCCAACAAAGGCCATGTCATCATTGGCAAACCAGCTGAAACTCCTTCTAGTATAGAATTCCACCCACAGTGTGTCAAAAATCCTCCAATGGCCGGATGTGACAAAATCAATACTTGCGGTGCCCACCCTCGAATAATTAGTCCTATATCTTTTGTTCTTCTCTCCAATCCTTCTTCATAAAAAAGTTTCTCAAATTCATTTGAATTGACACCATCTCTTATAACCCATATAAACGGCCGCTTCGATGCTTCTAAGGCTAGTCCCAGTTCGATTAGCTGCAGAGGTGACATGCAACCAAGGGTTCCAAGACAGGCATAAACTACAGACTTTGATGGCCATGAATTGAGCCATTTCAAGCATTCTTTCTCATCAATTGAGGTCTTGTTACCTCTTTGCCCCTTATCTATGTTGTCCTTGTTGCATAGTGATACGGGCCCAACGCACCAAACTTTATCTCCTTTTACCTTTCTACATTCTTCAACATATCTTTCTTCCAATTCTTGAAAAGAATTAAATACCAACCCATATGATGCCTCATCTGCTGCTTTTATTTCGTCGAGCATATCTTTGAAGGTCACTGAGCCTGCATTCAGAGTACCGGGTAGCTGAGCTTTAGTTACTTCAATCCTATCCGGCAAACCAGGCACCACAAAGTACTCTGAATCAGAAACCTTCTCATGAATCCTGGACGACTTTATATTATATGAACACATAAAAGCAAAGCAACTTGTGCCATCAAAAGCAAGCCGAGGGATTCCAATCTTACTAGCAGTATAAATCGTCCAAGGAAGATATCTATCAGAAATAATGCAATTCGGGGCTGGACTTGTCTCTTCCAAGAACTTCTCGATTGGCTGCTGCAACACCCTAGCTGCATCAAAGAAATTCTTGGACAATTTTGGCGAGGGAAGAGCATCCATATTCTCGCAGCCCTCTGGCAATCCAGCCTCAACACAAGGAAATCTGAGTTTCAGAATTCGGATTGGGAGACCAGATTGAATGTCACGATTGATGATCGCTTCAAATCGAATGGCGTTGAGAGGTGTGGTAATTAAAGTAACCATTACACCATGTTCTACCAGGAGCCTGGCCATGTCTACCATTGGGATAAGGTGACCTGGGCACATCAAGGGAATGAGGACAAAATGAAGCTGCTGGAGACCCGTCGGGGAAGCCATTGTGATTAATTGGGGAGAAGGTCGCGGGATGTTGCGGTACAAGCCACACTCGAAGCTGTGGTCGTGAATTGAAGGAAGAAAAAAAGAAGTATTCTGCCGCTGCAGCCTTATCTGGCAAAAAAAAAAGTGTTTTGTTGTAAACTGATTACGACATATAAAATAATTATAACCACTAATGCATAACAAATGAAAAATAAGAGACTATTGAAAATAGAACAATGAAAGGGCCGAATTTATTTTCTTCTCATATTAGTACCATAAAATTACAAAGGAGGGCAGGGTGCCACCCCGATCAGTATTTAGCCATTAGGTGTCACAAATTGTTGTCACATTTTGCCATATGTCAAAGGGTGGCAATGGCATGATGAAATGTGTCAAATGATAGTAGATTCATAACATGTTTTGTATTGTTTAGTTAATTATTTGTAATTCATTTTATTTGCTGTAATTTCTTTATTTATTTTAATTCCAAAATAACAACGACATCACTATTCTCACTAAATTTTTTTAACAAGTTTATCCTTAATAAAAATTACATATATGCTCAATTTCATAATTATTGAAACCTTTTGTTTTATTTTAAATATTTGTTTGTTTAATAAAAATATATTAATAAAACTATGAAAAAAGTAATCACACAATAAAATGAATCTGAAAAAAAAAAGTTATATTTTAAATTAGAAACTAGGTGATAATGATAAATTAGACGGTGAAAATCACTTCTTTAAACAAACGGGGCTTTTTCCCCTGGCCTTTATTTTTTAAGAATAATACTATGGGTACTAATAGATGAGTACTAATATGTGTACTAACTAAAGCATAGTACCCATACTATGCATATAGTACGGATACTATACTTTAGTTAGTACACATATTAGTATTCAATTATTCATCTATTAGTACCCATAGCATCACTCATTTTTTAAACACTCCCTGGGTCCACTGTCCAAGTTTTAAGTCTAACTATTCACATGCATAAACGAACAATAAATGAATGTAAAAGTTACTTGTTTAAGCTCTCTTCAAGGTCAAACTGAGAAGTGACCTGTGACCTACTTGTAATGAAACTTGGTTACAAGACATTCTCCCTTGTTTTGGACAATAATGTCCCTACCATCACCTATCAAGTTATCATTAACTCTTCTCTTTTATCTTCTACTCTGCCTCCAAACTGTCAAGCCAGACAACCAAAACTCAAGGCTATGACCTATGGGCCGGTGGACCTTGTCGTGTCGTACTATACCTTTGTGGGCCTGCCACATGCCTTCGTAGGCTTGCAATGACTATATTAATTTTTTTAAAATTTGTGGGTTGTGTTGTGTCGACTCACGTGCCCATTCTTTAGCACACGACATGGCTCATTAATTGTGGCACGACACGAAATTTTCGTACCGTGCCAAAAAAAAAATTGTGGACTGTATGGCCACCTCTACCCCAAACAAATCAAAATCCTCTTCAATCTCGGTTTCTTTAGTATTTGCTAAATAAGTCTTTATTCTTTGAATTTAACTAATCCATATACGATATTCAAGGTAATACACAAAATCATCTTCAACCTTTTACTTTGATTGGTTCAATAATTTTCTTCTTCTTCTTTATTTATTTATTTTTTTAAATTTGGTTTAATCCAAACAAATAAAAAAATTAGTTTTAGAGATTGATTTCCCAAAAAAATGAAAGAACTTAGTTTAATCATTTGCTTTTGTCTTTTTTTTTAGAAAAAAAATCCAAAAAAAAAAATAAAAAATCAATTTTAGAAATTGATTTTCAGAAAAGATTGATGAAACTAGAGCACCAAGCACGTGAATTAGAGGTGCCTGAGTGAAGTCAGGCGTTATAAACTCCACATAATTTATGCACTTTGGATTATGATATTTTGAATTGTTAATATTTAAAACAAACTTAATGCACCCAGAAAACAACAAAACTTTTATGTAATCTCAAATGCATTAATCTAATAGTTGAAATTTTGTTAAAAATTATGTAAATAAATACAAACAAAGAACTTGGGAATAAAACGTTGTGCTCCACTCTCCATATTACTTTGTAATATATATATGAGTAAACGACATGTTCCCACCCAAGGTTTGGCGACTCTACAAGTTTCCATCATTGGTTTCATTAATTCCAGATTCCCACCTTTAAATTAACACCGTTTGTAATTTTTGGATTCTGATACAGTATAGAATCTGTTATTACCAAACTGCACTTGACAAATAGATTAGTAAATTAATTTTTAACCCTCATGTCTATGCAAACATTTGATTCAACCCCAATCTAGGCTAATTGAGACGAAGTTGATTTGCCTTATCGCCACCATCACCATCACCTTCCCAATCACCCACTCCACATTGATGGAACCCTTTGCCAAATCAGTCAATTCCACCCGCAAACAATACCAAGAACACAAAGAACAACCAACAATTCCACAAGGATACAAATACTGTATTAAATAAAAGAAGAATAACAAAGATGCAATTAACAATCTAAGCCAAAAGAACAGATAATTCTCTTGACACGTGGCCAACCCATAACAACCATCACTACCCCATTCTCCCTTTAGCACTCCCTCACACTCCTAACGCCCCTTTCACCCTTGTGCCCCCTTAGCTGGTAAACTTTACTAATAGGAGGCCTATCAATACACCCCCCCTTCCTCCTGAGGAGCCACCTTGTCCTTAAGGTGAAAAAGTGGATATTGGAGATTGATGATACCATACACCTCCCAAGTTGCTTTGAAAGGATGAAGGTCCTTCCATTGGATAAGGACTTCTTTAGACCCATCCATTAAAGTGCAGACTGCCAAGACTACCTTCGGTTGGACAAAGAGTTCTAAGTCCTTTGATAAGAAGGGAGGACACGGTTGAACTGGAACCGAACTGTGCAAGCTGCGTTTCAGTTGAGAGACATAAAAGATAGGGTGGATTCGAGTAGTTGGAGGTAAATCTAGTCGATAGGCAACTTGCCCAATTCGTTCCAAAACTGTAAACGGACCATAGAACCTCAGACTCAGCTTCTCATTCATCTTTTTAGCCGAGGACTTGAACCGATATGGTTGAAGCTTGAGGAAAACTTGATCCTCTAGTTGGAAGGTGAGTTCTCGAAGGTGCAAGTCGACTTGTGCCTTCATGTGTCCCTAGGCCATGGCAAGATTGTGTTTCAGCTCATCCAAAATTGAGTTTCGCTCCCGCATTTGCTGATTTACCTCTTCCACTAAGGATGGACAATCCGTAAACTTAAGGACGATGGGAGGATCCCTACCATACAATGCCTTTAAAGGTGTCATCTTGGTTGAGCTGTGGTAAGCAGTGTTGTACCAATATTCAACCCAAGACAACCATCGTGACCAATGTTTGGGCTGGGAACTACAAAAATGCCTTAAATATGCCTCCAAGTATCAGTTGACTACCTCAGTTTGCCCATCAGTTTGAGGATGGTAAGCGGAGCTTAACTTTAAACTGGTTCTCACGGCTTTAAAAAGCTCCAACCAAAATTGAATGATAAGTACCCTATCCCTATTGGATACAATGGATTTGGGAAATCCATGCAACTTCACAAAATTGTTCACAAACACAACAACCACGTCTTTAGCATTATACGGGTGACAAAGGGGAATGAAATGGTCGTACTTAGTAAGTCTATCAACCACCACTAGGATTGTGTCATACCCTTTAGCTTTAGGCAACCCCCCAATGAAATCCATGTTGACATCATCAAATACTTGAGAAGAAATAGATAAAGGTTGTAGTAACCCTGCTAGTTTGAGGGCTAAATGCTTGTTTAGTTGGCAGACCATACATTTTTGCACAAACACTTGAACATCTTTCTTAATTCCTTTCTAAAAAACAATACTACATATCCGCTTATAAATTCTAAAAAAACTTGAATGACCTCCACTTGGGCTATTGTGGAACTCCTCTAGAAATTTGGGAATGAGTTTAGAAGTTCGAGGGACAACTAACCTGTCTTTATAGAAAAGACAACCACTATGAATACGATAGTGAGGATGGCTTGAGGAATTTAGGAGTAAATCTTGCATGATGGACTTTAATTTAGGGTTGTGCTGCACCTCAGATGCTAAATCATCCAACTCTAAAAACTCAACCATAGAAATAGCCGCCAACTCAACTTCTTCTTCTCTCCTGAACAAGGCATCAACCACTTCATTGGAAGTGCCAAGTTGGTAATGGATTTCAAAAGAGAACCCCTTGAGTTTTGAGATCCATTTATGCTATTCCAGAGTTTTCACCCTCTGGTCTATCAGAAACTACAAACTCCGTTGGTCGGTCTTGATAATAAGCTTGCGTCCGATTAAATAGTGTCTCTATTTGTGGTCCGCGAACACTATGGCCCTAAGCTCCCAGTCGTAAATTGATTTCTGCTTGGATTGGCTAGAGAGGGCTTTACTAAGAAAAGCAATGGGACATGATTTCTGAACCAAGACAACCCTCATGCCTTGTCTAGAGGCATCGGTATGGGCATTGCCAAGATGGGTACTATTGTCATTGCAGTTTTTAGAGCCTAAAACACTTGTTGTGCTTCGTCATTCCACTCAAAAGTGTCTTTTCGAAGGAGTTGTGTTAATGGCTGTGATATCATCCCATATCCTTTCACAAAACGCTTATAAGAACCCGTCAACCCTAAAAATCCCCATAAACTCTTGATGGTTTGCGGAATAGGCTAGGATAACATAGCTTTAAGCTTTTGTGGGCAGCCTCTACATTTGTAGATGAAATCAAATGGCCTAAATATTAGCCTTTGTTGCCTGAACAAACATTTCTTCCGATTGACCACTAATTCGTTCTCAACTAGTATTTTGAAGGTCTATTTAAGGTGCTCTAAATTAGTGTCTAAATCGGGGCTGTACACTAGGATATCATCAAAGAAGACTAGTATAAACTTTCTTAAAACCGACTTAAAAATGGTATTCATGAGTGCTTGGAAGGTGGAAGGGGCATTAGTTAACATGAATGGCATAACTAGGAATTTGCAATGCTCCT